CTCGGGCCTGCAATCCCCTCACACTCACTCTTCACCCCACATATTTTCCGGTGCTGATACGTTTCCAGACTCCAGCGCAACCTGGGGCACTCTCCAGACCCATGCAGGGGCCGCCTGGGGTACACGGAAGGAAGTTGGGTCCTAGTGGAAAATGCAGGTGGACGTTGCCAGAGTGTGCACAGCAAATGACCTTCATTGCCAGTTGCGCCCCACTCCTCTCATTTTTTATACTAAGCAATAACTTTCCAAAGCAAGAAGTTCAGGATGGAGAGAGTCCCCTCCTGTCTAGGCATGGGGTGGACGCGGTGCCCGCCTGGGCTGTGCGGGGAGCACCGCTGGCTCTCGGGATGCGCGTATTTTTTTTTTTTTTTTTTGTAATTAACAGGGCATTAGAAGATGATTTTGCCAAAATTGTCATGACTGAATTCTTGCTGTGGGGACTTCCTGAGTTTTCTCAGTTTTTACATCTAAGATTAGTCTTGGCTGAGGAGAAACGAGACGTGATTATACTACTTTCAATTGCAGGTTTAAGCAGTTCAGATTTAATGACCAAAGTCATGCAGATCCATGGAATCTGTCGTCGTGTTATACAGTGTCAGCCTCGAGTAAATTTATTGACCTTCTGGGGCTGTCAGTTTTCCACTAGGATTAAGATTTTGGCTGGGCACAGTGGCTCACGCCTGCAATCCCAGCACATTGGGAGGCTGAGGCGGGCGGATCACTTTGAGCCCAGGAGTTCAAGACTAGCCTGGGCAACATGGCAAAACCACGTCTCTACTAAAAATACAAAAATAGAAAAGAAAAAAGAAATACTAGCCAGGCACATAGTGGTGTGCACCTGTAGTACCAGCTACTTGAGAGGCTGAGGTGGGAGGATGGCTAGAGCCCAGGAGATGGACGTTGCAGTGAGCTGAGACCATGCCATTGTACTGTAGCCTGGGTACAGAGCCAGACCCTGTCTCCAAAAAAAAAAAAAAAAAAAAACAAGATTTTCATAATTCCCATTTTTATTTATTTTGAGTCACTCATAATTAATTGCCAAAAAAGCATTTTATACATTGAGTTTGGGGGGGTGGTGGATCTTAGTGTGGTGTTGCATGGAGGGGCGAGATTTTATATTTATAATCAACACGTGGGTTAACATGTTTTTTTGAAATCCAAGCAATACACAGGAAATCTAAGTAGAATAAAAATTCCAGCCCATTTTTGAAATGTCAGCATGTGCTGTGTTCAGGTCAGATTTTTGTTGTTTGTTTTGTTATTTTTTAACTAATAAGTTGGTTATCAGTGGTGGGTTTTCAAAACGTACTTGTTCTAATAAGTTGTGCAATGAAATAAATCAGTGGCGTTCTCTGGATGATGTGGGGGAAGGTTAGCATATTTTCTGGCCTTCTATGGGTAGCAACCCAGAATCAATCTGAATTAGACCTATTTTGGTGGAGTTTGTACATTTTAAATCCTATAACAAAAATAATCTAGCTTTCATTTCCTTCCTAGCTAGATGCGAATTTGTCTTTTCAAATGACCCTGTCAATAAGCCAGAAAGGGCAACACAGAAAAAGTGCTCCCCAAATCCCTTCTGAGACTTGGCCCGTGTGTCTGGACAAGAAGCCATTCCCCGTAAGGGTGCAGAAAGCTCGACCAAGCCGAATTGCAAACAGCGTTCGCGCTATTTTTAAATGTACAGGTTCGATCGTTTCTATAGAAATGGGTTTATCTAAGAAAAGTCTTGGTATGTCTTGCTGCTGTAAAAGGCCTTTCGGAACCCCTCCTTTTATTCCTGTTCCCCGTAGGGTGTTTGTAGAGTTAAGGACCTACTGCATGTCTGTCCCCAGGGCCCCGGTGGAAGGAGGGCAGCGCCTGCTCTTCCCCGACTCAGCCCGTCATCTGAAAATTCAGAAGTGAACCAAGGGTTAGACGCCAAAGGTTGGGCTTCTGTTAGAGTGGCTTCAACACGTGAGCCTTATGAGAAGTAGCCTTAAAAAAAGAATCGGTGTACGCAGTGACTTCCGATGGAAATCTCCAAAATGATATTCCTAAGTAGCAATGGGGTTGGCTCAAGTCTTTATTAACAAAGAACATTCTCTTTCATCTATAAAAAAATTCTTAAAGATGCGTCGACAGTATTGAATTACCAGCAGCCTGTGAAGATCAGCTGGACGGGTGTGGACACGTGCTGGTGAAGCGCGCAGGCTTAGTGGGCTGAGCGGGATCTTGATCGTGGGGCTGGTGTATGGATCCACCGTGGGATTCCGTCTGCAGAGGAGGATGTAGGGGGCCGTCACATCCCCCAGGCCTCCCTGCTGTCTCTTTAACACAGGCAAAAAAGGTCCCCGGCAATATAACAGTCAATGAACTTCCAGTTTAAATTGTGTACATTTTTAAATTGTAAGATTTTTACTGTATATTGATGCATAGTGTGATTCAATAAATTGCTTGTAATTTAAAAACTATTTAATATTCAAAATAAATATAGTTATATATTTATAAACTCTGTTGCCGCGTTTCTTCTATGTTTTGTCCATGTGCAAGGACCTGGGTGGGTGTCCTGGCCCTGCCCTGCTGGGAGCGCCCACAGCCTGTGCCCGGGGCCCCTGCCCTGGTCCCTTTGGAGCTTGTGTGCTGGGACAGACTTAAACTCCCCGCACTCCTGAGGACATAAAGCTTTGTGTCACCACTGGAAAACCAAACCTGTTTAGTGTTCGTGCCCCCTTGAAGCATGTCTATAATCCATGCCTTTGCACTCTCATGAATTTCGGAAGCATTTTCATTTCCAAAGACCTCGATTGGCCCAGCCTCAAATGAGCTCTAGGCCAAGAGAAGAACTAACCTTGGCTCCAAGCCAGCCTTTCTGTGCCCACCCCCTGGTCCCCCACCCCACCCCACCATGGCCCCTCTGAGTCCCCACCCAGAAGTACTGAGACAGGGCAGCGAGACCCATGAGTGTGGAGCTCTGGCCTGCCAGCCAGCGTGACACTCACAGTCACCACACCCCTAGCAGCCCCGAATGGTCCCTCCCTGAGCAAGATGCTGCTTTGGCTGGGCGTGGTGGCTCACGCCTGTAATCCCAGCACTTTGGGAGGCCGAGGCGGGTGGATCACTTGAGGTCAGGAGTTCAAGACCAGCCTGGCCAACGTGGAGAAACCCCGTCTCTACTAAAAATACAAAAACTAACTGGGCGTGGTGGTGCATGCCTGTAATCCCAGCTACTCGGGAGGCTGAGGCAGGAGCATCGCTTGAACCCGGGAGGCGGAGGTTGCCATGAGCCGAGATCATCTCGCTCCACTGCTCGCCAGCCTGGGCAGCAAGAGCGAAACTCCGTCTTAAAAAAAAAAGGCGTTCCCATGGACAGCCTCCCCACCCCCAACTCGGGGTCCGCCCCCAGCCCGTAGGAGCCCCAGGTTCCCCTAAACATCCCGGGCAGCGGGGCGGGGGAGCCCCTGGGAGATGCCGGCGTTTTCGCGGAGCGGCTCGTCCCGGAGTGCTCCTGGGACTTGGGCTCTGTGCTGAGCCTGAACCGGGGCTGCCCCTCCGTCCGGCTGCTCCCAGGGACCTGTTTCCCCATCCGCGGAATGGGCCCGGGGCCCCGCCAGGAGTGGAGAGGCCGGGGAAGGAGGGCCGCGGGAGGCATGGATGCGGGGGTGCTGTGTCGAGGGGAGGGTCGGGGAAAGCGGGTGGGGGGAGGCTGTCTCGGGCACAGATGTGGGGTAGGCGAGTGGGGAAGGTGCGGGTGGAAATTGAGGGGGAGGATGGGGACAAGCAGGTTGTGGGGAGGCTGTCGGGGGACGGGAGTAGGGGAGGTGGGGACGCAGGCTGTCTTGCGAAGGCTGTAGGGGGAGGATGGGGAGAGACGGATGGGGGGAAGCTATCTCGG